GTTAGATCCTGGCTCCTCTACTCCCTGAGTGTGAGATCCTGAGCTATTAGTTATTTAACCTTTCAGGACTCACTGCCTTCATCTATAAAATGGGAATAGTAGCAGTACCTACTCCCTAAGGTGGGTGTGAAGAATAAATAAGCCAACGCATGGAAAGTACTCAGAAAACAAAGCCTGGTACTTATTAAGTGCTCAACAAGCAGCAGCTATAAATTATTATTATAGTTTCTTCTGAGCCTTACAATAGTCCTGTGAAGTATTATCCGTATTGTTATCCCCATTTCACAGAAGAGACTGAGGGCCAGAGAGGTTAAGGAGGGGCTCAGGACCACATGGACAGAAAGCGGCAGAGGCTAGATTTGCACTAATATCACAGGACTCCACTGCAGCGTCACTGAGCATTTCCAAGCTCCCTTTTAGTCTCCAGATGAAATTATTGCACCCTTGTCATAGAGATTCATATCACTTCCTTCTCCAAACACGCACAGACCTTCCCAGGCAGATGGCACCAGATATTTACTGTACAATTACATGGCCATGATTGAATTGAGCCAGAACAAGGGAGCCTGATTAGTGGCAAATCTGCAAACCTGGAAATAGTTCCAGGATTGCACACTGTAATCCTGGTAGGGTGAGAATATTGCTTAAAATTATCCTGGCTCAGGTTTACCCTCTCTATAAGGGTAAGAGACATTCGTTTGCCCAATGTGTGGGCTTTGGAGTCAAGCTGACAGTACTAGAGTGCTGTTGACAAGGGCCAGACNTAAATAAGCCAACGCATGGAAAGTACTCAGAAAACAAAGCCTGGTACTTATTAAGTGCTCAACAAGCAGCAGCTATAAATTATTATTATAGTTTCTTCTGAGCCTTACAATAGTCCTGTGAAGTATTATCCGTATTGTTATCCCCATTTCACAGAAGAGACTGAGGGCCAGAGAGGTTAAGGAGGGGCTCAGGACCACATGGACAGAAAGCGGCAGAGGCTAGATTTGCACTAAGATCACAGGACTCCACTGCAGCGTCACTGAGCATTTCCAAGCTCCCTTTTAGTCTCCAGATGAAATTATTGCACCCTTGTCATAGAGATTCATATCACTTCCTTCTCCAAACACGCACAGACCTTCCCAGGCAGATGGCACCAGATATTTACTGTACAATTACATGGCCATGATTGAATTGAGCCAGAACAAGGGAGCCTGATTAGTGGCAAATCTGCAAACCTGGAAATAGTTCCAGGATTGCACACTGTAATCCTGGTAGGGTGGGACTATTGCTTAAAATTATCCTGGCTCAGGTTTACCCTCTCTATAAGGGTAAGAGACATTCGTTTGCCCAATGTGTGGGCTTTGGAGTCAAGCTGACAGTACTAGAGTGCTGTTGACAAGGGCCAGACAGTCACTTAATGGTTCAAGGGATGACATTTTATGACATGCCCACAAGCCCTCTTTCAATTGCTGTTGAAAGTCTGTCACGAGGGTCCAGAAAGAAGATTGTTGTGTGTTCTTCTCCCAGGCTAAGGAGTCAGGGGTGCTGTTTATCAGAGCCACTGTGTGAAAGGAACACACACAGAGGAAAGTCCATTTTCTGGAAATATCTCTCAGCAGTCCCCATGTGGAGAAGCTGTGAGATTCTTCATAGAAAATATTTCAGAATGCCCCAAGCATTTACAAAGCTCATATTGTAATGCCAGCTGTATTGAGAATTTTCCAAGTCATCTGCCATAAAATGGCGGAAAAGGCACCAGTATAGTCCTAGGTCTGACTCTAATGAGCCATGAGGCCTCGCAGAAATAGAGTCACCTCTCTGAGTCTCAGTTTCCCCTTCTGTAAAGTGAATTACTTGGACTCTATTTGACCCCTCTAGCTCTAAAGATTTTATTAGAATATGAGTTCATGAACCAAAAGTTCAGAGGTGGCTATGCTCCCTCATAAAATGGCGAAGATTTGGATCCTAGAATCTGTGACTCTTCTAGAGGGACCCAGACCTGCTCTGGAGCTTTAGATTTTGTGATTTTCATCCACTTCCTTGAACTGACTGCTGTGACTCAATCTCTTCCACCTGAAGCCTGCTCCACCACCCGGAATTCCATTTAATTCCACAATCATTGACTGAAGACTTACTGTGTTCCCAATTGCATGGCTTGGCTACACAGATGAATGAGACGAGTTTCTCACTTTCGGGAATTCACAGTGAGATAGTGAGATCTTGGCTTGCCAGAACTTCTTTCCTCTAGAGATCTTTCTAGTGCCTAAACTGGTGGTTCTCAGAGTGTGAAAATGCAAATTTTCAGGTGCCACCCTAGACTTACAGAATCAGAAACTCTGGGGATATGGCCCACTGATCTTAGTTTTTAACAAGTACTCCAGGGAATTGGGGGGCACCTCAAGTTTGAGAACCACTGAATTGGCCCTATCAAAGACAAGCTGTGAGATGGTGACTGTGAGCCTCAAGAGACCTGAGAAGACATCTTGAAGAAAACTCAGTCACTTGGGCCGAGGATCAGTTTTCAACTCAAAATCACAGCTTCCTTGGAACCTCTAACAACTTTTTGAATCTTTGTGGTATTTTTGTAAATGTCCAGGCGTTGTGAAAACTCCCCAGTTGTTTTGACAGGAACTAATCCAGTTTAGCACATAATTCCCCATGGAACTTCCAGGCTTCCCTGTAAATTGATTGTGGTGCTTAATGGGATGTTAACACCA